AATGTCTCTTTTTCTTCAAAGTAGCTGTTCATTTTGTGACACATAATATAATAGATGCTTATAAACTGTTTAGGAAAGGTTTTACAAATGTATAAGCCTCTAAATGTATACCTATCCTCTCTGTATTAGAGGGAAAACAAAACAAAACAAAACATAACAAAACAGATTACTAGCAAAGTATGAAACAAAAAAGACAAATAAATAACAATAGCAAAGAGCCCAAAACCATGACAGTAAAGGTCTTCAAAACAAGGTGGTAGAAACAGATCTAAGGTTGATATTTTACATAGTGATCTTCAAGAGTTCCTCAGGTCACCTGACACAAACATGCAAAATTGTCCTCATCCTATGAATGTTAACTGTTTTGTTTCAAGAACTTACAGAATTTGTAGCACAATCATCTTAGTATCCTGTGGGTTTACACCATTTTAGATATTTTTTCTTTTCCTTTCATTTTTCTTTTTCCTCCTTTTACCTGAGATATTATTTTTTCCCCTTTGAGCAGATTCTTATCCTTTCACTGTGTTTATTGAGTTTTTTGTATCTTATGTACACTTTCCATTTCTTACACTAGGGAGACAATACGGTATTTACACATGTGAGTTTGATTTATTTCACTTATGAGTATGGTCTCAAGTTGCATCCAATGTGATCATTCTTTATAGCTGAGTAGTCCTCCATTGTATAAAAGTACCAAACTTTTTTTATCCATTCCTCAGTTGATGGGCATTTAGGTTGTTTCCAAAATCTAGCTATTGCAAATTGTGCAACTGTAAAGGTGGGTGCACATATATCACTGTGATATAATGTTTTCTATTCTTCTGGGAATATTCCCAGAAGTGGAATAGCTGGGTCAAATGGGACTTCCAATCTCAGGTTTTTGAGGAATCTCCACAGTGGTTGCACCAATCTGCACTCCCACTAAGGGTGCAAAAGAATTCCTTTTTCCCTGTAGCCTCTCCAGCATTTGTTGTTGGTAGTTTTCTTGATCCTGGCTATTCTTTCTGGAGTGAGATGAAATCTCAGTGTGGTTTTAATTTGCATTTCCCTAATGACTAATGATGATGAGCATTTTTTCATGTATTTATTTTCCATTTGTATTTCTTCATCTGAGAACTGTGTATTCATCTCAGATGCCCATTTTTGGGTTGGGTCTTTGAATTTCAGGGATCTGATTTTTTAAAAATTCTTTATATGTTCTAGACAGAATTCCTTTGTCTGAGGGACAGTTTACTAAGATTTTTTTTTTCCAATTTGTGGGTTTTCTTTTCACTATGCTGGAGATTTCTTTCAATGTGCATAAAGTTTTTAATAAGATATGATCCCAGTTATTGATTCTGGGAAGTATTTGTGTGTGGTTTGATTTTTATTCATGAATTCTCTACATACCTCTATGTCGTCAAGATTTCTACCTACTTTGTCTTCTAGCATATTTAGTATTTCTGTTTTAATATTTAGATCTTTGATCCATTTAGTCTTTAGTTTATAGTGATAGGCATGGTGTAGTTTTAGTTTTCGGCATATAGAGAGCTAATTTTTTCAGCACCATTTATTAAAGAGACTATCTTTCTTCCAGTGAACATGTTTGGCTCTGTTATCAAAGATATGGTGGTAGAGTGTGTTTGTAGTTGTACTTGTATCTTCTAATCTATTCCGTTGATCTTCAGGTCTGCTTTTATTCCAGTACTGTGCTGATTCTTTACAGTAGCTTTGTAGCATAACATTAAGTCAGGGATTGTGATGACTCCTGCCTTGCCTTTGTTGCTCAGAAATATCACAAGCAGTCAGACAGGGCTGGGCGCTCAAGGGAGGCAGTGTGGGAGATGAGGACACATAGAAACTGTGACTGGTGGTGCATCTGAAGAAGGTTAAAGTCATAATGATCGCATCTGTCCATTTCTCTAAGGGATAGGAAGCTTGAGGTTACCCATACCACCCTTTGAGATTCCCTCAGGAACAAATCATTACCATATTAGATTTAGCTAAGACCATAAATTAGGACTAAAGAGAAGAATAAGGTTATAGATTATCAACCAGGGTTAATGATATCATCCATATGCCACTGCTAACTTTGGATCAATATCAGCCAAGTGTCTTCCTCATAATTGTATTGGTTGGTTATGGTTTTGATCCACATCTGCCCATCTCGTGATTTGCTCTATAAAACCTTCTCAGAGAAGTGGGCTCACCTGCAACCCATTGGGGCCCCTCCTGTCTCTCAGGAGCTATTCCTACTCCCCATCCCTATTCTCCGAAATTTTCTCTACTCTTAACCTCTGCTTTTTCTTATAATTTATTCTTTGACTTCAGGGAACACGAACTTGGCATATCTGACACCTGGCAGGTTGGCATTTGGTTTTCCCTATGCCATAACTGACTGGCCTTGTGAGGGGCGAGTTCTAAGCTAGCCTGTGTGCACCTTCCTGCAGAGGAGTGGCCAGCCGGGGGACAGCTGACACTGATGACTAAGATACATGTTTAAGACGCAGTAAGAGTCACCTGGGTTGGGTGAGAAGAGCCTTTCCCGGCACGGTGACAGTACTGATGTGGGACAGGAAGATTAGAGGACCCTTGGGTGGGGGTCCTGAGTAGAAGGCCTGACCTGGAGCACTGACACACAGGAGCTGTCAGCCCGGAGGCAGTAATTAGTCACCCGTCTACCTTGTAGTAAGTAGTGTCTGTGTGACCTGCTGTGGTCTGAACATGGCTTTTCCCTGCCAAAACTCTCGCAGAGCCCTAGGGGCTCAGGGTGGCAGTGTAGGGAGCTGGGGAGTCAGGGAGGCATTGGATGGGGGTGGAGCCCTGGGGAATGGACTGGGCCTTTCTCAGGCAGTGAGTGAGGTCCTGCTGCAGCAGGGCTGGATTGACTCATGGTCACACTGGTTGTTATAAAAATGCCCTTGTGTTTTGCTCCCCTGTGCTCCCCCATGAATGGAAGCAGCACAGCACCCTCAGCGGAAGTGGAATTCCAGGCCTGGGAAACCGTGAGCCAGCAGAGCCTCTTCCTTACACACGCCCCAGCCTTAGGTATTCTTCCACAACAGCAGGCAACAGCCTGAGAGGAAACCTAAACACACTGAGCACCAAGTCACGTTCAGAAGGGCGCAGGCCCAACCTCAGATGCGTAGGGGAGAAGCAGGAAGTTCCACAGAAAGTTTTCTCATGGTGCAAGCAGTGAAGGCAGAACTACACTGCAGGGCCCACAGAAGAACTTTCTAAAAACCTGCTTCCCCGTCTCTTTCCCCCAAGTTTCAGCCATCACAGAAATACTGTGACTTTCCTTCTCCTCCTCTCTCCAGCCTCTCAGACTCTCACTCCACAGCCAGAGAACCCTAGTCAGCTCTGGGTGTTTCCCAGCCTGGCCGCCCTCCGCGCGGCAGGACCTAGATCTGCCCTGTGAGTCTCCGGGAGACCTCTTTTTTTGGCTTCTACCTTGGCATCGCAGGAATGCTGACTTTCCTTCCCTAGGCCTTCCTTTCTCCAACTGCCCAGGCTCTGAGTGAGTAAAATGAAGCGATCTTTCTTGAGACCTGCCTTTTTTGGGAATTGAGGCCGGGCTGGATGATACCGACGCATGACTCAGTAGCTCCTGTTGAATTAATTTGTTGCTAGCTGAAATGGTACCATTAGACTTCAATCGGATGGGAGCACCAAGGGTCACACTGCTGGTGGCCAACACGGCACTTTGGTGAGAGTCCTATCAAAGCGCTCCTTCAAGGCACCGATTCTGGGCAGGCACGGTGGCACAGGCCTGCAATCCTACTCTGGGAGGCTGAGTTCAAGCCTGGCCTGGGAAACAGCAATTTAGTGGGACCCTGTCTCAAAAAATAAAAATAAAGAAGGGGTGGAGATATAACTCAGTGTGAAGGCCCTGGGTTCAATTCCCTGTAGTGCAAACCAGAGCAATAACAAAAACACTCTCCACTTCTCAAAGAAATTAGCTGTACCTGCCATGAGGTGGTGTATACTGCAATAAGCTGTTTCTCTGTTATCTCCAGGAATTTACAGCATGTCCCTAAGATCCAGAGGATCCACCTCTGAGGATTCAACCAACTGCAGAAAGAAAATATTTTTTTAAAAAAATTGCATCTGTACTAATTATGTATGGGCTTTATTCTTGTACTAATTATAAGTAATCCAGAGGTAATCAAAGTATTTGGGAGGATTGCGGTAAGTTTTTTGCAAAACCGACCCCATCTTCTAAAAGGGGGCTGCATGTCCAAGGATTTTGGTACTCTCGGGGTCCTGGAAGCCAGTCTTCTGCAGATACTGAGGGGCAGCTGGACCGGGATCTGCCAGCCCAGGCGGTGAAGAAATACTGCTGGACCTGCCGCCTCGCTTGACAGCCGGACTGGGCAGACCCCTGAGAGGTGGGCAGCTCCTGCCCTAGGGGAGGGCACTGGTTCATGGTGTGGATGCCAGGGCTGAAATTCCTGTGTCCCCCAGGGAGCTTGCAATGGCTAGCAGTTCTGGTGGGACCTGAGCTCCAGATTTGTCTGGATAAAGCGGGCATAACTAGGTTGTAAGTCCTCGAGGCAGGAGGCCCGGGCTGGGTGCAGAAACAGGCTATTGGCATTTCACACGTGCCAAGGGCAGAGAGCCAGAGAAGACCTGCTATAATACCTTTGTTGTTCCAGGAGACAGCAACTGCACCCAGAACATTCCACCTCTGTGAAGAAGTCACAGTCTGCAAAGCACTTTGAGTGAATACTAAAAAGCAAACAGGCAAACAAGCCAAACAGTCCCTTGGAGCCCCATTCTCAAAGCTAAATAATTAAAACAGCGCTCTGAGCTCTGCAATGTAAATGCACCGGGATGCTGTGTTTTATGGTGACCGGGATTCTGGTATTTTCCTTTATTTTTAGTAAATCATAGGACTTCCAGATGGGAGCCTGGCAAGGCCCGGCGTGCGGGGAGTCAGGTCCAGCAGCAGGAATGTAAGGAACCGTCCCCTGCAGCCAGCACAGCCTGCGGAGTTCATCTCTGCAAGGCGAGGCCAAGGAGAAACGCCCGCACCCTGCCAGTCCTCAGCAGCCTTGCGTCTGCAGCACTGTGGACACCTAAACTTTGTGGCTGTGCTATCTCTTTAAAAGGAAAAAAAGTAAAAATAGAAAAATAAAAAAGGCGCCGGGTAGGGGGAGCTCCAGACGCTGCAGCAGCGCCCAGGGCGGCTGCGGTGCTGGAGGCCGGTGCTGGAGGCCGCTGCGGGGCCCAGGCCAGGCGGCAGAGGCAGGCGGTGAGCAGCGGGGCCCTGGGGGTGCGGGGTGCTGGGTGAGGGGTGGGGGTGGAGTCTGGGGGGTCCGGGGGGCCGGTGGGCGGCTGGTGTCCCCCAGCTCCTGTTCAGCGGGTCGAGCTGTCCTTTTAAACAAGCTCCTGAGGTCTCTTCTGTTGGGGTCATGCTTGGAAAGCCTTAGTGGACCCGTCGTGGCTTCTCAATTTATTCCAAAAACCGATGATTTTATTCTTAGAAAGCGGACTCCGATCTCATCAGGAGCATCGCGCCCCACCCTGGCGCCCCCGGCCTTCCTCCCCTTCCTGTCCTTCGCCCCTGTTTGCCTTCCTCCCTTGCTCTCCTTAGAACGAGGTTCCACCTGGGGCAGGGGCTGGGTTTGCCTGCAGTGTAACAGTGGCCTGGGCTTTGATTTCCCGCTGTCGGCCTCCCAGGATGCTAGGTGGGTCTATGAGAAACTATCTTAGCCCGGAGTCTCTATGTCTGCACCCAGACAGGTGGAAATCACCCACAGTCCCGTCTGACTGTCACACAGCCAGCAGGTCCACCCCGACGCTGTCCCTGATAACCGGACTCTCACCAGGTGCCCGCGTGGGCCTCACCCCTGCGATGACCACCGAGCTCTCCTTGCTTTGTCCTGCCCAGCATGGCTCACTGCATCTTATGGAAAGTGATACTCAGTTCCTTTTCTTGTGTCTCCTTTTTCCTGTCTGTGCTCTTCAACATTCCTTTAGGGTCCTTTTCAAAACAAATAAGGCAGATTTTCCATCGTGATTTTCCTTGTTTCTTACTTGAATCATAAGAAGACATTCTCTGTGATTAATAGGGTGCGTTCTAGTATTTACATAATAGGAGGCAAAGTCAATGACAAGGTTTTAAGGTCAAGATTAGATTCCATGAAAAGCATCCCCTGTACGCTGGCTAATTTGTGTTGCCTCTGCCCTCTGGAGCCCTAGGTTCAAATCTCAGCTTTGCCACAGCCTTCCTGTGCAGCCATGGGAATTCCCTTACCTCTGTGAGCCTCAGTTGCTTTTTCTGTTAACTGTTCTAGAGTTGAAATTAGGAGAAACATGTGAAGGCACCTCGAATGTACTTGGCACAACGTAGCTATTAAATGTCTGATATTTTTCCACGTAGTCTCCTTGTGAACCTGTCTACCCACCCATGAAACAGGAAAAAGTGGTATATCATATTAATTCCCCCAAAGAATCATCCCGAAATGAACTTTTGGGTGCCACTTAGTCAGTTTGCATGCATTTTTAGTTCTTGCTAGCAGCTTTACAGGAGTAATGCTGGGGTCTCCACGAGAGAGTTCTGCTGGTGGAGGGAGAGGCAGCTCCCCATGTGCAATCCCTCCTGACCCATTATGGCCTGAGCAATGGTGATGGCATTGATTTCTCCTGCCGTGAGTCCCAGTGAGCACTAAATGTGATTGTCGCAGAAGCTGCCAAGCTGGAAATCAGAACAGGTCCCCTTGCTCATCTCGGACAGCGTAGGTGGCGGTGTGCTGTTTCTAGTGACTGTCCTGCTGCTATTTTAACATCTGTTTTGTGTGTCTCTCATGCCATCTTTCCTTTCCTTAAATTCTACACGCAGCATACTGTACAGATTCTGGTATCTAGGATGGCGCCACTGCATCCCTACCAGAGAGAGCACATAAGGTCTTTGGATTGGGACCAGAGAGAGAGAGTCTGGCCCCACTTTACCTTTTGTTTGTGTTCCCACTTGACAGTGTCTCTTGGGAGCGTGTTTGTTTGTGTACTGTCCTGAGTGTTGCTTGGGCAGGTGTCATTTCAACCGGTTGATTCTTATATTGAATAAATTTGAAAAGATTGCTATTTTTATATTTCCTGTCATATTATCTTATAAAAATTAACAAAAATATGTAATTTTGGGTCATCTTGTATTTATATGATTGGACTGATAAGTGGTTAATGTGAAAGACATTCAATTTAATCGCAAGATAAGCAGTCTGGTAGAGAATCCTTGAGTGTCCTTAGATTTCTGGGGTTCAGATAGCTTTCTTTGGGCTCCCTTCAGTTTATAAGATTGACCAAGTGAAATACTTTTACCTGTGTTGCTGCCTCTGATGATCACAATAGCCTCATGGTACAAGAAGTCTTATTTTGTGGATTATAAAACATAAGATTAAGAGACAGTGGAAGGCAAATTATTTCTTATTTATAAAATGAAAGGTTGATTAGATGTAGGTGACATAGCAACTTTTGTTGCTGAAAATCAGGAAGTTCTCACACCGCAAGCCCTAAACTCTGTTCTCTACTACAGCACACCTCTCTCTCTCTCTCTGGTGATCTCTCTCTCTCTCTCTCTCTCTCTCTCTCTCTCTCTCTCTCTCTCTCCCCTCTCTCTCTCTCTCTCCATTCTGGAGATTAAATCCAGGGCGCCTTTGTATTGGTTACATCCCCAACCTCTTTTTTTTTTCTTTTGAGACAGAGTCTCAGTAAGTTGCTAATTTCCCAGGATGGTTAGAATTTGTAATCTCTTGCCTCAGCCTCCCAGAGAACTGAGATTTTAGTCATGCACCTCTATGCCTGGCCAAGATACTCTTCTTATGGGCCTTAGAATTTATGGTGATGTGAAATCCAGGATGCCATGGTGGTTCCTGGTGTTTAAAGGTGTGATCTTTGATCTGCTTATTACAAGTTTACACCAGACAGGCATTCTTTTAAAGATTCTGCCCTGAATTGGACCATGGGCTTGTTATGTAGGCCAGAAAAGAAGGACTCTGCAGTTCTAGTGTTCTGAAATGGTAACATTTTGAAATAAGTCACCCTAATATCGTTATGGATGATCATTTAAAATTCATGATCTCTTTATTTCATTAAAGTAATAATTCTAGAAAGGAATAGTTACTTGAATTTTATAGGTATCTGGGATTTTTATATAATAGTAGAGTCACCTTTTTATGTAATAGTAGAAGTCAGCTTTTCTCCTTGATTTTAATACAGTGATAAATTTAATGATTAAAAATGTCTGATGGTTTACGAGATAAAATACGAGAAATATTGCATATGAGAAATGTAAGCTAAAAATTTGTTGTTTATATGAAGTTCACATATAAACAGGCATAAATGTTTATATTTAAATTTTTTGTTTGTTGATAGCACTATATAAATAAAAGCTTCACTGATGATTAAGTGGTTGTTACTTTGCATTTAAGGATATTAATTCACCAGAACTTTAAGCCTAACACATATATTGCAGCCAACTATTACTAGTTTTCCATCAATGATGTCAAATGCCTCACTAGTTTTATTTCTTAACCTTTTTGTTTATTAAATGTTTATGCCGGGTGACTAGCTAAGACAATTATGAGGCTGAAGAACATAATTGTGGCCAAGTTACCTGCATATTTCCCAGAATTCCTGCTATGACACAAAAAATACCAAAGATTTTAAATGAATTTATGTGGACTCAGATGGACTTGATTTTGAACCTGACTCCACATCATACTGATTCTGTTATTTAATCTCTTAAAGTCTCTGTTTTCTCCCTGTTAATTGTAGGTCAGCAACCAGTGTCCTGGGCTAGGAGGCAGGAATGTAAGGCTGTGGCCCTCAAAAAGGTATTAATTTTTTAAAGAAATGGATACTTTTTCCATTCAAAAGCCAGGTAATATAGCTAATACAATTAGCTATATTTTAAGTATATCTATTTTGATGTTATTTTTAATAACATTACTGAGATAAATCATATACTACAGTTACCCCACCTTACGCTATGTTTATGTCAAATCTTATCTGTGAGGAGGGAAGGAGCTTTTCAAAGTGAGTTTAAAACCCAAAGAGATTCTACACTAGCAACGCCTTCTCCCTCCCCAAAACCTCTTTATCCTACAGTTGAGTGGAATGAAATCTGTGGCTGGATCAATACAATTCAAGATATGCTATAAAAGTGTACATGTTCAGCGCCTGCTTGGCAAGTACAAGGTCCTGTTTGATTTCCGGTACTGAAAGAAAAAAGTGTGCGTGTTTTTGTCTAGGGATTTTATTTACCTAGACACTGGCCAAAGTGGCTATATTATTTGCTCTTTACTGAGTATCATTTGTATCTCAGTCTGGGTGGAAATTGACCAGTGGAGGGTGGAAGATGGGGGAGATCCGCTTCAGTGACTTTCAACAAAGTAGATGAGAAGGATCTGTTCAACACAGGAGGGATTTGGAACACTGGCGAAAGAATTCATGTTTTCTTATTTAATGTGAAATACAGCATCTTCACTGGTGTACACTTTGCATGGAGATCTCTACACACTCATATGCAATGAGTGACACTCATCTTTTGCTTTACTTTGTGGTGTGGTTTGAGATGCATTTTGTGTGCATGTTCAAATACAGAGGTATATATTTGAGGTCAGTGAGGGCTATGACAACCATGACTATTTCTGCAATATACTTTGCCTGCATATCTCTATCATTAATGACCTCCTGCAGTGCTTGCTGGGCTGTAGATTTTGGTCTATTGATTTACAGGGTGAATTAGTCTGACCTTTCCATTTTGCAAAAATTCCATTTTAAAGCCACGCGGTCTGCTGACTCATGTGCACTTTGCCCTGGTGCTGGCGAGGTGCACGCATCTTGGCAGCTTCATTGGGGCTTTCTGGGGGCTGCAGGTCTGTCTGCCCTTGGCTGCTTGTTTCTGTAATGTTAGGGCCTTTCAAGGGTGAGTTTTCACTGTACTCCAGAAGTCACGCATGATGAAAATAATGTGCATTTCTACTTCTTGTGCCCTTCTTCAGGGGAGTGTGTGCCCTGGGATGAATGTGGACAATGCCGTCTGTTCTTTGCTAGGAAGGAGTTAAAAGGGTGTTTCTAGGGAAACTAGAGCTGTTCTGCTGGGGGAAGCTGCAGAGCGCTGTGCCAGTGAGCTCTGCAGCACGGACGCCAGGGAGAGGGCAGGAGCTGTCCACCCCATGGCTGTCCTTCCTTCCTCCTGGACATTGCCCGTCCTCCTCACTCAGCCTCATGAGCAGCGGGTTTCAGGGGTCC